AACCAACGACAACACCACAGAGTAGAAGAGAAGATACAAGAACACCTTTGTTTTCCTACAGGCTCGTACTGAACTAAAGCTAGAAAGTAGAAGGTTCACTCCAGGAAGTAGGATTTTGTAGACTAGGCTGGGAAGGGAACAACTAACTTTCGCTGGATGCACAGATGCCTTCCTTTGTTATGCAGACAAACCTCTGCCTCTGGCCTCAAGGTCTAAAGTCGAAAGGTCAGGTCATGACCTGAACCAGCCACTAACTACAGTGCCGGCAAGGGGGTCGGATTTCAGTTGCCAGCACTGTACATTGTACCAAGAGTCCATATGATAGGGTTATGGACTCTTGATTGTACTGTTGACTTGTGGACATGGAAATCCAGTCGCACGTCTAGCGGCCCCAGGGTGCTGGTCATGCAGCCGTGGATCAGCTGTAACAGTCCAACTAACTACTTCAGTAGTCATTCTTGGAATAAGCAATGATCCTTGCCATAATGCATTCTTATATACATGAACAAGCAATGATGGACATAACACCTAACAGCAGCAGCGTGATAATAGCAGGTGATAAGTGTATCCTATTCCTAGTGTTAGTAGTAACAGTGAATCTGTTACATAAGCGGTAAGCGGTACACACATGCATTTTATCAAGAGTCCATAACCCATGGGTTATGGACTCTTGATTTTATGCGCTGCACTTAGCCTGCAGTGCGCTAATCGCATCGGATCAACATGTGCCCTGCACGCAGCGTTCTGTACGCGCCGAGGGCGCCGGCCCCGGTCAATCGACCGGATTTCCATGTCCATGTAAAAATGTATGTGCGGTTAGGCAGTGCGAAAACCGACACACTCTGCACGATCTGATGTCATGGGTGATGTACCGGTACAGTACTACAGACCACAACTTTTTTTGGCACAGGTCATGACGGATGATCGATCGTAACGATCGATACGACGTGACGTTACAGCATCTAGACTCGAGCTACAATGTAGATTACTAATTCGACTCTACTCTCCAGGCTAGATCATGATGCTGCACTTCTTTCAATCTTCAAGGAGGCAGCAACTGCCGCAGTGACCATGGTCACCACTCTGCATCGAGCAGAGATGGCTCACAATACATTGCGACAGTAAGGCGCAAGATCAGCGCTGGAGGTCTCTCCAGCCGAGAGTGGTGGACTACGATCAAACGTGCTGGTGCAGTGGTGGCCATGGCAGCCGCTCCTCGGAGATCCCGACCTTGACCCAGGTCAACAGTGTCGAAGTCAGGCAGAGTGCAGCGAAATCTGAGGCTGTTGGAAAGTTCTTCTCATCAAAGTGCAGTTTGGGTACGGATGACTTGCAGGCAGACGCGCTCCCACCACGCACCAGTTTGTCGCCGCTTAGATACGCCACACAGTGCACTTCCCACCTTGTGCGGTCGAGCGCGAGCTCAGAAAGGGCTTCCCGGGGGGGGGGGGGGGGGGGGGGGCTGCAAAAGCCACAGGACCAGATGGCCTGCCTGGCCGAGTCTTGCAGGAGTGCAGCAAGGAACTTTCAGTCCCTGTGTCGAAACTGTTCGCGAAGTCCTTTCGGGCAGGACGCCAGCCTACCCTATGCCATGGAAGACTGCCATGGTTGTACCCGTCCACAAGAAGAAATCGAAATCTGATGTGAGCAACTACAGACCTATCTCACTCCTCCCCATCTTGTCCAAGGTGATGGAGGCTATCGTCAACCGTGCCCTCAGTAAATTCCTTGAGTCAAACAATATCCTCTCCCAGAGCCAGTATGGGTTCCGCAACAGACTTGGCACCCAGGATATCCTCACCCTATTGAATTCGCAGTGGGGCAGGGTGGCCGCAAGCGGTGGTGCAGTAAGGGTGATCGCAGTGGATGTGGCTGGTGCGTTTGACCGTGTCTCGCACACCGGAGTGCTCCACAAGGCAGAGTGCTATGGCGTAGCTGGTCACCTGCTTGGCTGGCTCCGCGACTACCTGAGCAACCGGAACCTAACCGCAGCTGTTGGTGGGGAGCTATCTCAGCCCTGCCCGGTGAGAGCTGGCGTCCCCCAGGGCAGCATCCTGGGACCGACACTGTTCATCCTGTACACAAATGACGCCGATGACCATCACCTTCCTGGAATGGACCTCGCAGCATATGCCGACGACACTACGCTCTTCAACTTCATCACCTCAAGAGTGACCATACCTGGCAGCTCTGCTATCATGCAACAGGGTGTGGATGCACTGTCTCGCTGGGGCGTGGAGTGGAAAATCAAGTTTGAGCCCTCCAAGACCCAAGCCATGACAATCGCACATCATCGCCAGCCTTGGCAGCTCCCGGGAACCACTTTCGACGCTACGCCAGTCAGCGAAGCAGGCCACCTGAAGCTCCTGGGGGTCACCTTCGACTCCCAGCTGACATATGCGCAGCACATCCGCACGATCCGCTCCAGAGCACAGCAACGCCTAGGCTTCCTGCGGAAGGCCTCTGCTATCCTAGAGCCCCCTGGCCGACTCCGAGCCTACAATGGGTTTGTCCGCCCTGTGCTGGAGTACTGTCCCCTGGTCTGGCTTGGTGCGCCACCCTCACACTTGGCCAAGCTAGACCAGATCCAGCGATGAGCCATCCACATCATCGGATCGGGCTCCTGGCTCCCTAGTCTATCTCTGCGGCGGACAGTGGCCTCGCTTGCATACTTGTACAAGCTGTTCTGCATGGATGCGGACAGCCCGCTAAAGAAGATCCTCCCCCTGGTGCCCAACGTCGACCTCAGGACATACAGCCCACACACATGTCTGCTCAGCCTACGCACCCACACCAGCTATCGACTAACCTGCCAGCATGCACCCGAAACAGCTGTCTTCGCGCATTTCCTGCCAGCGCTGTGCAGACATGGAACGCTCTGCCCCAAAGCATACTGCTGAGACCCCACACCTGGAGGGCCTGCAAGCCTTTAAGTGCCATGTCCACCGTCACCTCCAGCTGCACCACTGGAGCTGGGCGACTGAGAGCCTCTAGCAGACCTCTCACACCCACCTCAGCCGTAGTGCACACACCGCGTCTGAGACAGTGTCTTCTTTTGCTAGCTTATATACTCTCCCTCGCTCTATGTTGTGACACAGTAGCTCCCTTGTTCATGTAATAACTGGTCCACTGTAACAATTATGACTTTGCTGGTCAAATAGCTGAGGCTGCAGTCACCTCACCAATCATCTCATATTTTCAATGTTCCTTTTATTTTACTTTAACAATTTCGCAACCTCTCTCTCTCTCTCTCTCTCTCTCTCTCTCTCTCTCTCTCTCTCTCTCTCGCTCTCCCTCCCCCACCCACTTTTGGTGCGTCTAGGTGGCAATGAAGTCGAGACCCTAGATCGGCGGAGCTCCTTAAACCTCACCACCACTGCCACGATTCAGGTTGTGCGTGCTTCCCCTAGCTGCATCTCATGTTTGGCATTTAAGTGGTCTTTGTAAAAAGAAAAGAAAAAAAAGAGCTAGCTACCCGTAGGGGTGTATCATGGTGTGTGTAGCTGACTGACATGATCATGTTTGTTATGTAGTCCTTGTACATGAAGGAGTAGAATGATCTACTGACTACTGAGTCTGTACTGAGTACTGCACTATAAATAATTACTTTTGAGTACTGCACTGCCTAAAAGGCCCTAATGGTACGTGGTGCCCGTAGGCGTAGGTCTACTGCACTGGACCATAGCATCATGTCCTGACTGCGAGATAAGAAGGAGACACGCTACTCACGACACAAGCTCGGCTGAGTCTGATCTGTGCACTGGTAGTAGTGGTCTACATGTATGCACTTTTAATACTATGGGCCTTATGGCTACTATTATACCATGCATACTACACTATGCTATGCCGGGGTAGTATGGAGTGTTGTCTTTACTTCACCGAGTCCGTGCTGCAGACTGTAGTGGCAGTGCTGACTACACTCTACAGACATGATGTGGATGATTGTGGTGCTGGTGCATGTGTGTAAACCATGCATGGCAGACTGTAGATCTACGCACATGCATGCTGCTTGATACAGTACTTGTGCTCATCGTCCTTTTCTAGATTTCAGTCGTGTATGATTGTAGTGTTTTTACTTCCAATGGAAACTCTCTCTTGGTGAAGGCCAAGGGAAAAGCCGGCCACGATGGACGAGGACTCATGGGCTCGTCGCCGAGATTATAGTAGGCGCCGTGAGACGCTGCAACATTCCGACCAGCTGGTGCGCGTTTACGGTGAGCCAGAGGATCATGAGCTGCGAGCGAGCGCTAGCGTCGAACGGGAGGCGGCAGGTCGCGACAATGTGCGCAACTACCGTCACTACCACATCGGACAGGCCGAATGCTTGGAGGAAGTCGTCGACAATGACTTCGACGACGACGACCACGACGACGCAGTGTCTCAAATTACGATTCATACGCACTCGTCGCTCATGGCCCCCAGTATGGACAATAACCCGGGCAGTGAACTTGATGATGTTCGTGAGTGCGTAGCTAGGAATATCTTCCTGCCGTATTTGTTTGTAAACATTCACCACTTCACTCCTTTGTTGATCGCTATTAGTATTACCCAGAAAAGACAAGGTGCGTGCATGTGTGCATGCAATAAATTTCCTATCGGTTTCGTAGCTTGCAATCGCCAGGTGTAGCTGCCAACCCAAGCTAAAATCCAAAACGGTGTCAATCGATTTCTAGTTTCTGCTTCGTGTAATTGATGTGTGCTGAGACTTTTCATGGCCACTTCATGCCGCCCATACAATTACAAATTACCGCCATTAGTTACACTCGCTACGACGTTCGTTCTGTACGTAGTCGTATGTCTACTCAGTGTAGCGCTCTGCCCTGTTTGCCTCGAGTCTTGTATGATCGCGGTGATGCTCGCGCTGTTCCACACCGCTCTCATGTGGGTGTGAGTGAGGAAATGGCGACCTTGGGCCTGGGTTGGTTGTTCGGTTTCTCTTTCACATCTTATCGCCAAAGGATCGCTGAAAACTGAGTTTTTTTCCTGTAGTCAGCTGTGTGATACATCCCCAGTCGGCGGCGCGCGTCGATATGGACTATCTCGACCCAGTCAGGCTGAGTCAGCCTCGTATTCGTAATCGTGATGACATGTTTGGGGGAGTAGATCTGCTGCTAGTATGCGTCGTGCACGCGTGGTAGCTGTCAGGCCGTGTTGACTGTTCTTAGTGTTGAGCGATCTTTTTATTTTATTTTTGCTGGTGTCGTGGGGACAGTGGGGTACGGGTGCTCTCTATAGATCTAGCGAGTATGTCTGGTACTTTCAAGACTTTTTTTACTGCTGACTCTTTTTGTAGTTGTAACTTGTAGTTGTAGCACTGTGGAAGCGGGCGGATTCTCAGCGGAACTTGTCCTTCCATCGCGGCCCTTTTGAAGTGTGCGCTAGAGGAGCGGTGTTGAAGCGCACCCTGCGCCAGAAACAGGTGTCGTGCACAGCGCGACCAGAAAAAATGAGTAATGGAATAGGCAAGCGGAAGGTGTTTGTGGCGAAAACATGCTCGATCCGTACATAAGAAGTGGCCGCTCAATTTGCGGTCACTTCTTGCACATCACTCTATCAGCCCTCTCACTTTTGATTGGGTTAGCAAACGTTATTATGACATGATGTGGTTGATTTTTTCGTGATATCTTGCACATACATGCCATCATGTACATCGTGTACATTGTGCATACAATTAGTTGATACAACAACACAATTATGTAGTGTAAAAATAATAATGTAGTGTAAATGTAGACAAGGTTGTGGCTGCATTCACAACATGTACAGTACTCAGTAGAACGCCGATTATCCGCACGTCAACTATCCAGATGATCGATTATCCGGATAGCCTGGTCGGGCCAGATAGCCTGGTCGGGCCGGATAGCTTGGTCGGGCTGGACAATCAAAAAATTCAAATTAGCAGCTTTTCGAGGTTTTTGTTGATTTTCCCCACTTGGAGCACCATTCATTGAAGTGATGTACAAGATGTATCACAGCAGGTTGGAGCTTTTTTATTTTTTTAATGTATGACGATAGTGTCGTTTGAGGAGCTGGAGTGCGCCTAGTTACTGCTCTACAGTACTGTCCGGCGTCGAAGAACGGCCAGGCTAGAATTTCACGAATTTCTAAAAACGGTGTAGGCTGAATGTTTTGCAGATAAGAACGGAAACCGTGAGAAACACTATAACATACACTCGGATGTATAACTCTGCATAACTGTACCATGTAAGACTGTGCCATGGAATAACTCTGCATAACTGTACCATGCATAACTGTACATGTAAGACTGTACCATGGAATAAGAACGGAACTGCTGTGTTCACTAAGGGGCCATCCGTAAATATAGATATTTATTCCCGTAGCTATGCAAAAGACGTTACAGTAGACTCGTACGCCCAAGAACGTGGCGCCCAAGAACGTCCAGGCTGGAAATCTAAGAACGCCCCAGCCTGGATTTAAGAACGAACTCCAAGATTTTTAAGAACGCGACATTTTTCCTCCATCAGTTCATGATCTTGTCCGAGTACACGAAAAACAAGTCTGCAACCACAAACTCTTGTCGGGTCTTCGCGAAAACATCACCCAGTACAGTGCAACGCTACATACTACACGTGCATGTAAAGTGTACAACCGGTACATGTAGCGCAAAGTGCATTGTACATAAGCGTCACGGGTCATGTTGGACGTGTAAGAACGCGAAATAAGAACGTAGCCTGGGGCGCTGAAAAATAAGAACTACTGCTTACTTTGCTAGGCTGGCTGGCCAAGGCTGGCCCTGTGAAACCGCGTTCTTGGGCGCACGAGTCTACTGTACTTCAGTATCGTCTGGCGCTAGCCAGGGTCCACACAGCTTAAATTTCGTGTTTGTTTGTTTGTTTGTGCCATCGGTATGCCTGGCGCTATCCCGTACCTGTCCCGTACCGTACCATCAAGATGTGTATCTGTTTGTTTGTGCCGTCGGCATGCCTGGCGCTATCCCGTACCGTACCATCAAAGACAGCTGGGCATGGCCACACTATTCAAATAGGCCTTTCAAATGCAAGATCATAACGTGAAGCAACTTGGAAGAATGAGTATGTATGCGAAGTGTATCGGGGGAATGCATGCATGGCGATAGTGTATCGGGGGAATGCATGCATGGCGATAGTGTATCGGGGGAATGCATGCATGGCGATAGTGTATCGGGGGAATGCATGCATGGCGATAGTGTATCGGGGGAATGCATGCAGCATGGCGATAGTGTATCGGGGGAATGCATGCATGGCGATAGTGTATCGGGGGAATGCATGCATGGCGATAGTGTATCGGGGGAATGCATGCATGGCGATAGTGTATCGGGGAAATGCATGCATGGCGATAGTGTATCGGGGGAATGCATGCATGGCGATAGTGTATCGGGGGAATGCGGCATGGCGATAGTGTATCGGGGGAATGCATGCGGCATGGCGATAGTGTATCGGGGGAATGCATGCATGGCGATAGTGTATCGGGGGAATGCATGCGGCATGGCGATAGTGTATCGGGGGAATGCATGCATGGCGATAGTGTATCGGGGGAATGCATGCGGCATGGCGATAGTGTATCGGGGGAATGCATGCGGCATGGCGATAGTGTATCGGGGGAATGCATGCGGCATGGCGATAGTGTATCGGGGGAATGCATGCGGCATGGCGATAGTGTATCGGGGGAACGCATGCGGCATGGCGATAGTGTATCGGGGGAATGCATGCATGGCCATAGTGTATCGGGGGAACGCATGCGGCATGGCGATATTGTATCGGGGGAATGCATGCATGGCGATAGTGTATCGGGGGAATGCATGCGGCATGGCGATAGTGTATCGGGGGAATGCATGCGGCATGGCGATAGTGTATCGGGGGAATGCATGCGGCATGGCGATAGTGTATCGGGGGAATGCATGCATGGTGCGCGATAGTGCGGGTTCCAATCCTACGTTACTAGTATGTCTTGAAAATAAAATAGGAGAAATGAAAAATTTATAACATCCCTATCCTTTTTTTGCCTACGTCATCAAGGTGGCAGACTGTAAGAGAAGAGTACCACGCGTAGGCGAATGAATGCTTCGCGTACACTCATTTCGTTGTCAGCAAGTCATTGAGGTGCTTCACCACTGGTACAGAGTACTACAGTAGTAGAGACGATGATGATAACTCAGTAGTACTTGTCTTTGCCGCCCGGTGGTGCTGCATGCCGATAATGCAGTCATCATCCATCATGCAGTGCGCCTTTGGCTAGAACCCTGCAGTACACTCAAATGCCTCTTATCCGGACGTCTCAGATACGGGCACGTCTCACGTCTCTCTACCGGGCACCTTCAGCTTGAGTTCCTATAGTACAAATGCTTCGAATTATTTGGTTTCTTTTACTTTTTCCCTGTATGTGGACTGAGTGCTTATTTTTCACTGCCAGCCTATGTAAGTAGATGAGTTATCCTGAGATACGGGCAGTGCCCGGTCCCAAGGTGCCCGGATAAGAGACGTCTGAGTGTATGTTGATCGGCGGCAGTGCTCTTGACTACCACCATGATCGGTTGGCAGAGCCCCGGAGCACTGTTTCCAACACAGTGCATCCTCCGCCTTGTAACATGCTGTCAACAGATCAACATGTACTTGTACTTACTTGTACTTGCTCACTGCCAAAACTGGTCACATGGGTCTCCCTAGGAGAGAGACCACTGAGGTGTGGTGAGCCCATAAGTGGGATCATTTCAAGTCCACCCTAGTTTGGGGATTTCAGGGGGTGTCGGCCGCTGGGTGGTTCAATGGCCAATTGAGTCATCTTTCCAAGATTCAAAATGTTAATCTATCAAACAAGGCTGTACCTACACAGTCTGTATCGCATATTGATCGCCTTTTGCCAACCTTACAGACTAGGAGGTTGGCGGCTATAGTAATATACCGACTAGAGTAATATACCGACTAGAGTGATCAATTTCTCAAATTTATTTTCACTGTTTTGCAACATTTTCTTCAATGGCCGAGAGCTCTGTCGCACCCTGTAATAGTAATAATACCGGCTATAGTGATATACCGACTAGAGTAGTAATATACCGACTAGAGTAGTAATATACCGACTAGAGTAGTAATATACCGACTAGAGTGATCAATTTCTCAAATTCATTTTCATTTCCCACAACTAAGAGTATACACAGTTATCGCGTATAGTAATAATCGTCTATAGTAATAATTATATAATATTATAGTGATAATCGTCTATAGTTATATCACGCCTATAGTGATATTTTTTTCGTATGCTATTCTTCCAGCTGCAATCTATTTCATGATGAAACAGTTGACAGATGCGTGGAATCCATTATTTGGGAGACATGCGACCTGTATTATTATTTTTATTTTATTTTTGAAAGGATTGGGAGAACTTCAAATTCAAAGGAACAGTAGGGGAAGTGAACTGCCTGAAAAGAGAAAAAAACCGCCAGACCCACCAGGACTCGAACCCGGGACCTTGCTTGTCATGAGCAATGCTCTAACCACTGAGCTATGGGACCGGGCTGAACCTAGAAGGCGCTGACAATTTTTATTTTTATTATTATTATTATTATTATTAGTGATCAAATTCATATTTCCGAAGACCTCTATTACATTATTTCTGAAGACCTTTATTACATTATTTTCACATCGGTTGTAGTGATTGATGTAAAATCAAGTGGTGTTAGAGGAGAACAGGGTGTTACTTCTTTGTGCAGAACTTGCCCAGTGTTTTTTGGTAAGTTCTGCTTGTGCAAGTTGACCGAATATGGACTGACAATGCACGTATCACATTCTTGTTCATGGGCCGGTGAAGGGTAGGTATCATCAGTCTTCGGTCCTTGAAATGAACTCTCTTTTCCCTTTCTTTTCTCGATTGTGTAATGTTCAGATGGGGAAGCTGAGAATACCAATCGCGAGGTAAGCTAACGTCTTCTTAGAGCGACCTACGTTATAATGTGTGTGTGTGTGTGTCCCCAGAGTTTGGGGGATTTCAGGGGGCGTCGGCCATTGGGCGGTTCAATAGTCAATTGAGTCATCTTTCCAAGACTCCTTTTGAGTCTCTCTCCCCTCTCCCAGGGAGACCCACGTGACCAGTTTTGGCAGTGAGCAACACGTACAAGTTAGTACAAGTGTGTGTGTGTGTGTGTGTGTGTGTGTGTGTGTGCTTGCATGCTTGCGTGTGTGTGCGTTTGCACGCACACACACACACACACACACACACACCTCACCTCAGACCTGCCCATCGCAGAAGCAATGATAGCGAACAGCTATATTTAGACATAGTAACTAGTGCTGGGATTACACCATTCAACAGCTTGCAAGGCTGATGAATTGACGGTGGCGGTCACACACACACACACACACACACACACACACACACACACACACACACACACACACACACACACACACACTCTCTCTCTCTCTCTCTCTCTCTCTCTCTCTCTCTCTCTCCTAGCTAGTTTGCTTGGTGGGTACACTTATGCCAGATAGTGTTTGGTCTGTTGCTAACGAGCTTGGCTGCTTGAAGGTGTATTGTTGTACCCGCCACCTTTGTTGGTTTCAGAGTTCGTATACTTTCTATTTGAAGTATACATGCCTGTTAACCATGGACTACTTCTGGCTAGATTAATTCTTGTGTAATCAATGTTGTTAGTGAACTTATATCCTATCCACTCTGATTTTGCCACCCACACTGGTAGCAAGTATTACCTTCACTGGGGGCAGGGGTAACTGCAGTTGGATCCCAGGACGGATACCCTGATGCCGTCAATCTTTTTTCTGCACCTTGTCCTCGCCCACTTACTGAGGTGTAGTGAGCCCATAATAGGCATCATTTCCAAGTCCACCCATAGTTCGGAGATTTCAGGGGGTGTCGGCCGTTGGGCGGTTCAGTAGCCAATTGAGTCATCTTTCCAAGATTCCTTTTGAGTCTCCCTCCCCTCCCCCGGAGAGATCCACGTGACCAGTTTTGGCAGTGAGCAAGTACAAGTATGTGTGTGTGTATGTGTGTTTATATTTGTGCGTGGGTGTGTCTTTACCTTTCCATGTGTATGTGTTTGTGTGTATATGTGTCTCTCTCTCCATGTGTGTGTGTGCATGTGTGTGCGCATGTGTGTGTGTGTGCATGTGTGTGTGTGCATGTGTGTGTGTGCATGTGTGTGCGCATACACACATGCACGCATGCATGTGCACGTGCACGTACGCCGTCTCTACCACACAGGTCCTGGTGAAAGCAGTCAAGAATCTTCTTCGCTCTAACGTTGGCCCAGACGTAGACGCAGAGTGGGTTGTGAGGGAGCTCGACCGGAATGGAGTCCGTCTCGGCGAGGTCTATAGTTTATTTTCAAGACTTGAAAGCAAGGGTAAACACCTTACGGCTCACAACTTGGTAGCTGCCTTGCTACAGGAGAATGGATCCCACAACAGTCCACAGCACGTTAATAGTCGCATAGCTGGCGGACAGAACACGGCAGCGACGTCGTTCCGCGATGCAGATAGCACCACAGGTGATGTCAGTCCCCGCAGCTCTGTGCCACCGCCACCGTTGCCAGCTGGTCTACAACGACCACCCCATGCCTGGTCAACTGCTGCTGCTGCTACTGCCGCTGCTTCTACACGGTATGGACTACCGGATGCTAGAGCACACGCACCAGCAACCAATGCATCTCCTGCACCAGCGGCTATGAGATCACATGCACCAGCACCCGTGGTATCACATCCACTGGCGACTATAGCGTCAGACACGACGGCGGGGATCACGTTTGGTGCAAGGTCTGGGCGTATGGCTCCACCATGGGGGGACAATCGGCATGGCAACCGCCATGGTAACCAGTACAGTGCAGCAGTGCATGAAGATCAGCTAAGTCTCACCTCACCAAGGATGGCTAGTCATACCGGGCTAGCGGCTAGCTCTCACTATGCCAAGAATAGCAGCGGTAGTGGTGGCAGCAGTAGTGCACATCTAGCCAACAGCTATTCCGGACCCACAAGTGTCCGGCAAGCACAACAATGGGTACTGGAGGATATGCAGGCACAACGACAACGTGGTCAGTTCAGTCTGTCCACTGAGGTGCTGGGATCGGGATCCGGGCACCCACCCAACTCTCACAGCGCCAAAGACTCCAGGGCTGGATTTCGAGAACACGCTTCTGCCACGGGTGGCCACCACCAGCCTCAGATAGCAAACACTGTTGTTATGGCAGCGGGAAGCATGCTGCCACAGCAGCAGCAGCCGCAGCAGCAGCAGCAGCAGCCGTATCCTACAACACCGCCTGACAACGAGTATCGGTATCTGCATCCGCCGAATCGGCCATGGCCAGGACATGTTCATCATCATCATCAGCAGCAGCAGCAGCAGCAGTCATCCACGGAGCATTCAAGTGTATCAGACAGGTTGCAGCAGCCACCACAGCCGTGGACTCAAGAACCGACATCGTCATCATCTGATCGGCCGCGGTATTTGCCCTTGGGGTAAGTCCTAGTGCTCCCGCACCCTCATTGCCGTACAGTATGGGGCAGGGGCATAGGTCACTCTCACTGTGGTACAGTATGGGGCAGGGGCAAAGGTCACTCTCACTGGGGCACAGTATGGGACAGGGGCATAGGTCACTCTCACTGGGGTACAGTATGGGACAGGGGCATAGGTCACTCTCACTGTGGTACAGTATGGGGCAGGGGCATAGGTCACTCTCACTGTGGTACAGTATGGGGCAGGGGCATAGGTCACTCTCACTGGGGTACAGTATGGGACAGGGGCATAGGTCACTCTCACTGTGGTACAGTATGGGACAGGGGCATAGGTCACTCTCACTGGGGTACAGCATGGGGCAGGGGCATATGTCACTCTCACTGGGGTACAGTATGGGCCAGAGGCATAGGTCACTCTCACTGTGGTACAGTATGGGGCAGGGGCATAGGTCACTCTCACTGTGGTACAGTATGGGGCAGGGGCATAGCTCACTCTCACTGGGGTACAGTATGGGGCAGGGGCATAGCTCACTCTCACTGGGGTACAGTATGGGGCAGAGGCATAGGTCACTCTCACTGGGGTACAGTATTGGGCAGGGGCATAGGTCACTCTCACTGGGGTACAGTATGGGGCAGGGGCATAGGTCACTCTCACTGGGGTACAGTATGGGGCAGGGGCATAGC